CATCCACCGCACAATTCACTATAAGTAATATTTTAATAGCTCCCTTATTATTATTGCTACTATTATTATTACAGTTTCAGACATCTTGTTCTCCCCCTACTGTCTCTAATTACCGTCAACAATTTACCACTTTACGTAACAGTTCATTTTTGTAAAACAAACAATGTGAGTGAAGAAATATTTCTTTTCAATTAGTTCCTCATCAATAGCTGGACATTAATATCTAGCATTTTCAAAACGTAAAATTACATACCAATCTAGTGATGAGAGTTGTTCAATGAAAGCTTATCAATCTCAAAGTATCTAGAAGGTGATAATTAATCAGGTAATTAAGACAATTAACTAAAGCATAGATTAATTATCGTAGAAAGATTTTGTGAACAGGTTCTTACATAATTGATATTTTGTATAATGGTAACTGAAGAGCAAAAATGAACTGTTACGTAAAGCGGTAAACTGTTGATAGTAATAAGGGACAGAAGGTGGAGAATAAGGTGGCAAAAACTGTACTAATAACGAAAACAATAATAGAGCTATTAAAATATTACTTATAGTGAATTGTGCGGTGGATGAAATGAAGAGTCTTGTTGTAATAAATGAGCTATACAGATGGCCAAGGCAAAGAAAGAGACTCAACGAATCTCTTCTCAACACACAGACTTGGCTTGTTTAGGTGGATTTCTATGGCTTCTGCGGTATGTAAAGGACGAACTCGTAGAGGATGGGTGAAGTGAGAAGGAATGTGATAAATAACTTTAAAGGCATTATGAATGTTAACTCGGTGGCCGGTGTCAATCAGATGCGAAAGTACTGAGCTTCGTGTCAATCTGGTTTCCCCCTTACTTAGCCATGAAGCGTGATGCTTGGCGATTCGACGACGGACTTGCCTAACTTTACGTCCAACGTAACTAGCTTCGCAGGAGCAGTTGAACTGGTAAGTGTACATAGAAGAGGAGAAGTCAGGTAGCCTGTCTTTAGTTCGCGTGGTCATCATCGACAAACTGTAGAATACACAGCATAGCTTTGCGGCATTAAGTGATCTCCTTATTGCATTTCTTAAGCGTTTGTTACAGTTTCACTGATGATGTCACCTAGAAATTGTAGCCTGAGGAACAATGGTTTCTTGGAGACTGTAGGCATTCTGGTTTTCATACTGGATGTGTTCATATTTTTAGCCAGAAATGTTTCTGGATATCAATAACTACCGAGTAGATCATGGATAATTTGAAGCTCTTCGCCAAAAGTATCATCTGAAAAGATGAGTCTAGCCCGATGGACCAAACACTTAACTAGATTTCGTTTATATTGAAAGGGGATGAAACTCAAGAAGTGGGTGTATTGACCTGCTGACGTTGGTTTCCGATACACACTTCTTTTTATAGTTCCTTCCACCTTCCTTGTCAATCGGACATCTAAGAAGGTGATGCTATCGTCACTTTCTGTTTCAATAGTGAAAATTATTGCTGGATGGACGCCATTGAATTCATCCAGTACAATCCTTGCATCGTTCTCGTTATTCACAATCAAGAATGTATCATCTACATAACGGCAATAAAATTCTAACCCACTTATGATGCTTTCCAGAGGGCTATTTTCTAATTTTGCTAAGAAGAAATCCGCTCAGATTGGGCCTAGTGGTGACCCCACAGCGACATCGTCTGACTGTCTATAGAATTCCTTATTGAAGAGAAAGTGTACATTCAATGTACATCGTAAGAGAAGCTCTTTCAAGGTAGATGCCGTAATTCCAATTTCTATGTTTCTCTTTTTGCTCTTCAGTTACCATTATACAAAATATCAATTATGTAAGAACCTGTTCACAAAATCTTTCTACGATAATTAATCTATGCTTTAGTTAATTGTCTTAATTACCTGATTAATTATCACCTTCTAGATACTTTGAGATTGATAAGCTTTCATTGAACAACTCTCATCACTAGATTGGTATGTAATTTTACGTTTTGAAAATGCTAGATATTAATGTCCAGCTATTGATGAGGAACTAATTGAAAAGAAATATTTCTTCGTTCACATTGTTTGTTTTACTAAATCCAATATCCTTAAGTGAAGGAAGAGACTGATCGCAGCGTATTTGTTCATAGAATCCACACCTATCATATGTAACAGGCATGATTCATCGCATATTGCAGATATATATATATATATATATATATATATATATATATATATATATATTTTACTGCCATTAAAACAAAAGAATGAGAAACGGTTGAACTATGTAAAGGGAGCTTGAAAGTTATTTGATCACTTTGATATGAATATGAACAAAAAATTGTACTCGAAATGTCATCCAGTAAATAATACTGTACCGAATGTGTTGTGTATCAAATAAATAATCTAACGTAGAATTGGTTTGTATACTTTTGTTAAGAAGATTAAGTGAATCCATAATGTTATATATATATATATATATATATATATATATATATATATATATATATATTAGGTATAGGATTCTCTCTCATTGAGGGAATACTGAACGACTTGAGAATTAGACGGGCTTTATAAGCTTTATTTCAAAGATCATGAGGTTTTTAAGAAGGTTTTGATTAAAATGAAAAAGCTTCATAACCAATAACTACCCATTTATCTTAATTTCGATAACTCCATATGAAACTGCTCCACAGGAACAGTTGAACTGGTAAATGCACAAGAAGAGTAGAAGTCAGGGAGTCTGTCTTTAGTTCGTGTGGTCATTGAACAACTCTCATCACTAGATTGGTATGTAATTTTACGTTTTGAAAATGCTAGATATTAATCTCCAGCTATTGATGAGGAACTGATTGAAAAGAAATATTTCTTCGCTCACATTGTTTGTTTTACTAAATACCAAAATAATAAATATCATTTACCGAATATCCAAATTTTTTCAAACCATCAATTCTCAACTTGGTATGAATATTTATCAATTATGATCAGTTACTTGAACAATATAAAAGAACAGCATATTTAAAAAATGAGTGGAACAAAATTTATTCCAACTAAGAAGTAATTATTACTATTTATTGATATACTTGTTATTTATACTGGATGATGATTGAAGGTGAGATGAAAATCTAGATCGCTGCCGGATTTGAACCAGCGACCACCGGTTCAATGATCAATGATTTTATTATCACGTTGTACAGTCCAGCTGATATTTAACAATAATTCAGTCAGTTGATGGCGGTCTATGTGAGGTAGACAGTTGGTTTAAGGAGATTTAAAGTAGATAATCTCACAGATGAATTTATACTACCAAATGAGAGGACAAAGCTTATCTCAAACATGGCATAACATTAGAGCTAAACATTTTGAACAATCACGTAACACATAAACTTGTGAAGTTAATAATAAAGGGTTTTCAAAATTTAAGTAACTGCATATTTCCTGTAAAGAATCACTAGGTTGGACAAAATTTAACACTCAACAACTTGATTAGTTAAGAAACCACTCTGATGTTTAGTATGTCACCAGCCAGATTGGAGTGAACTAAACACCAGAAGGTGATTTCGCTCATTTAGGGCTCAGCTCATCAGAAGTATGCCCGGACAAATTCAACTCATTTTCCAACAGAAACCCTTTTGATACCACAGTTGGGCAGTTGAAAAAACTACTCAACTTTGAGGAATGTCAACATAAACCGTACAATTCAGTGGTTAGAATAGCGAATGAAACATGACCTAACAGCAAAATTTCATAGTGGTATCGATTCAAAAATAGAAAATTAAGGATAACCTATGATCTTTTTGTTAACGTGAATTGCATCAGTGTACGAAGCATTGCACTGATCCAGATCCATTCTTGTTTAGACAATATGCTTTGTTATAACTCTCTTCAATGCTATGCCAATGAGAATTCTAAGATTACAATGAATCTTCACATCTACCTGAAAGCAGTATGCAACGCTATTCGATACAAATCAGTTGCAGTAACCAATCGACCGAAATGCTAGGAAACATCTGGTGCAAATAAAAAGAGAGTGATCGTTGATACAGATTAACATAACTCACTCACAACTAATCAAACTCCTGTACTCATACAATCAATCCATGAAAAATCCACTTCTCTAATAAAATTCAACTAAGCAGTAGTACGCGAAGAAACCCATCCAGTTCAAGAGAATCAACCAATCAGCGCAAAGCAATTCTCTGCAATACATACGAGTCCACCAATTAGATTAAGACAATCTCCATCGGCTCAGTCAAACAAAGATGTCAACCAATCAGACCAAAGTGATATTCACGAATTCATTAAAACAAACAGTAACAACTAAATATGACAGAAGGACCTCAGAACACTACAAATAAACAAAAGAAACCAACCATTCAGGTTCACTATACGCTCACTTACCCACTAAGTGACCAATCAGGTTACACCTAGGCAAAGTAACACGTTCTAAATATTCATACCTAACCAATTGTGAAGTTCTGGTGCTTTGGTAATGTTCAGCATGACATTAGAATGTTCACCGAGTCAAAGCCTATCTCAGAGGGTAACTCACTCTGAACATCCACCCACTGAGATATAAATATTTACCAAAAAAACCCGAAGGTATTTTGTGCTAAATCATGCACATGCATATCTAAAAATGATCACCCAATTAGTAAATGGTAAACACTTACCAATAAAGTTTGAGAAGAATAAATAGTTAGTAAGTTGATAAGTAATCTCTTGCTAAACTGAAATAACTTTGAAAGTAGTCAATATTTATTACTGTTTATTGACATACTTGTTATTCTCCGTTGTTTTGCTGGATCGAATTGTTCGACCTCTATTGGCATATGGGCTTCTATACAGATGTCTCGATATTGTCTGAATGTTAATTATGATTATTTAGCTGGTTGTGGCTAGCAGAAGAATCCAGGACGTGCGTCTCGTCCTACTTCGGACGCGTCAGCTGGATGTACCTCCACCTCAGTACCTCCATCCCACTGAGACTCGAACCTCTTACCCATCGCTTCAAACGCCAAGGCGTTATCCACTATGCCACGGAGGAACGTAAGCCACTTGGCGTTTGAAGCGATGGGTACGAGGTTGAAGTCACATTGGGGACAACATAACTGTGGTGCAGGTACATCCAGCTGACATGTCCCAAGTAGGACGAAACGCGCGTCCTGCATTCTTCTGCTAGCCACAACCAACCAAATATTCAGTATTTATTGCAAATTTCTTTATTTCATATGTTTATTATAGTGGTTTCCGATTGATTTGTACACAGAATTTATTATTGTTGCAAATGAGGGTTTTTTAATCAAATAAACCGCTGGGTAACAAGAAAAAGAAAAGATGGAAATTCAAGATGAAGTAAAGAAACTATTTGTAAATGGTCTAAGCTGTTCAAACTTTAAACTGAAAAATAAAATAACAATGAAAAGAAATTGGAAATCAACCTCAGAAAACAAAACGATCAGGTGAATACAAGTTAAAGGAACCTATGAATAGTGTACACATGCAAAGGATGATGATAGTAGATAATGAAAATGAAAAATAGTGGTGATCTGTCAAGTGAATGATTGAAATGTACATAATTCATAGAATAACCTAGAAATAATTTTCATTGGTATTATTTCAAAACATTTTTTGAATTATATAATCAGATAAATTTATCAAAATAGAATTCGGAAAAGTATTCAGTAATACTATTACTTTAACTAATAGTACTACCACTACAAACAACAATAACAAACGGGAACAAGAGGATAATAGGTGTATATGACATTGAATAATAACAACAAGAAAATAAAACGAAGAGAAATGCAAGAAGGATTTCCATCAATCAATGTATATGCATGATGATAACAGCAGGCACTTAATAACTACTGATATATAAATATCAGTAGTTTCAACAAGAAAATGAGTGTATAAATAACACAGAGAAAAAAATTCACTTTCATAGAATACTAGATAGAAAAAAAGGATGTAAATTTGAGCGGAATCAAAACAAACAAAAGGTGAATAAGTTTGAGCACACTGAAGATAATCAAATAAACATGCTTATTCATCAGTCATAGAAACAAAACCGGAAATGAGCAGAATATAGCCAGTCACCTTGTTTGGCCAAAAAAATATCGGTAGCAACATTCAACTACTTAATAAAAATTTAAGTAATAATGAAACATCAGTGGAAAAAACTTGCATATATATATGTATATATATTTGCGAAGAAAAGGCAAAATGGCAGGAACAACAACCAATAAACAGAATGAAATTTTCTGCATAACAAAAAGTAGAGTTAGAAAAACATTTTAACACTACCCACCCCCACCCCTTTATTTCAATTATCAAAGGCACTATTACTGTGAGTAAATAAGGCCACTGTAATTTTTTTTACTATCATGAATAGTTTGTAGGCAAAAACAATTTCTGTCTTTCAGATAAATCAATATTATTATTGTTATTATTATTTATCACTATATTCATTCGAAAAATATAATAACTATTTATTTTTAAATGAAAGATTGAAATATAAATGAACAAAAAATTATGAATAGTTTTCAATGTACATGGTTGAAAAAAGAAACATACATGAGTGAATAAAGATATTGAACACATTGAATGCGCGGGATATTCGATGTTGAACTATAAAGAATAGGCTAACTTATTTTATCATGAATATATATATATATATAAGATTGTATACGATTGAGATATTATTAAGATAACAAAGACAGAAAAATAAGTTTTCTCTTTATAACTGAAAATAACCATTTTTGCTTATTTAATTCTAATAGATTGCAGAGTTTAATACAGTGTTGAAGTATTAATTAACTTTCGAAAATAATACTAATAATAATTTAAACGTCTAAAAAATTATATCAACTATTTTTTTTAATCATTTTACTGTCAATATGTTGAAAGATTAAATATATCTGTACATACATGAATGATGATATTTCATTGTTTTAGAAATTAGAAAACAGGCACATAGAGATAGATTGATTTTATTCAATGGAAAGTGATGAAGTGAATATTTGGCATTAGAATAATAATCAAAGAAAATTGCCCCATTTTATTGTTGTTGTTTTCTTCTTTTCTCTTTTTATGATTGTCTTTATGCATCAAAAGATAGTTCATTATTAGCATCCCATAATAGATGTACTAAATCATTTTCACCATCATCATAAAATTTTAAATCTTTATCAAATAAAATATTTAAACCTTTAGAAATTTTATATTCAATTTTTTTATTAGATTGATGTATATTATTACCATTATTATTATAAGCAGTTGTTTGGCGCCAAATATCACTTTGAAAACTATGCCATGTAGCATCAAATTCACGACTCCAATCTAAAAATTCTGAAAGCATTGAACGTCTAGAATTGGTAGCAATTTTTTCATATGAATATAATATATCATTATTTGATTTATTTATTTGTTGATTAATTTTTAATTGAATAGATTCTTCAGATACATAATCTATTGCTTCATTAAAAATTTTTAAAAAATGTGAATATAACCGATGAAGACGTTGATTTCGATTAGTCTGTAAACATATTGTCTGTTGTTGTTGTTGTTGTTGTTGTCCTTCATTAACATTATGATCTTCTAGAAGTTGATTATAAATTTCTTCATCTTTCACAAGTATTGGATCAGTTAATTTTAATGCCATATATGCACCTAATAAAACTGGATGGTGAGCTAGAAAGCTACCTAACTGAGATATATAAGCATCTAGATATTTTAAAATTGGATAGGCTATCTGCTTATTATTGGTTATTGGTGAACCATTATTATTATTATTATTATTATAACCGTTATTAGTTGTATGTGATGAATATTCAGTGCCTAATTCACCTAATGCATTGCTTAATTTTGTTAAATCTAATATGTTAATATGATTATCTTCTGATTGAAAATAAATTAATTTTGAATTCTGTTTATCTTGTTTTAATGTATTAGATGATGAAATTGAACATTGATACGGTGATGGTTTCATTGAATCGAATAATTTATCATTAATTAGTAATTGACTAGATGACTTTCGTAACTCAGTTGTATGTTGATGATCTGGTATAGAAGATGTCGTATTTCGATTAGTACATGATGAACAGCTGATTAGCAGAACAGGAACACAATCTGTGAATCGATTCTGAAATATATTAACACAAAATAACAAATAAATATGCAATAATGTATTTTGAAGTGAAACGAGATTTTAATGTTGAGATAGTATTCATGATGGACTCATGCCATTTAGAGAACAACTGATAAACTGACGGCACTTAGCAGTACGTACTCACAAAATCGAACTCAAAGTCTTCAGGTTTCACAACGAACATGTTAATCATTCACTCACTGGGTAGCAGTTCAGTGATTCATACTTCCCAACTTCTATCGATTCACGATATAACACAACAATCACCCAGTGACTGAATGGTTAACGTATTCACTAGGAAACCTGACAGTTCTGACTCCAATCCGTAGTCGAGTTATTGATGTGTACTTCTAAGGAGTTCCGTGTTAGAAGGAAACAGCTTTCCAGTGTTCACAGTTTTCCAATGGTTTACCGACTGATGTCAGTTCATGATGAATACTACCTCAAAATAAATATTTGCTTGATAAATACTGAAAACAGTCAACTATAACACTGAATAATCCAATCCCTTCAATTTGATGAATCCAATAATATCACTGTTGTGAATACCCTGTGACATGGAAGTATGCTGTGTACGCCAAGCTCCCACTGCCTCAATGTGTAAAGCAAAAGAAAGTTAGATTACATTAGAAGACTCAGAATGACCAGGCCAAGATTTGACCTCAGTCCACCAAGACTCTGATTGGTGATGTGAAACGCATTAGGAAATGTTGACTGCTTAACTGGGGTCCTAGAGAGGATACAAATCAATGGTTAAGGACTCTTGATGAAATGACTGACAATTAGTCATAATGATGGAAATGTATTCAGTCTCCAATATCTTCTAAAGCTTGGATGGTTTGACTAATCTTGGTTTCTGGATTCCTTCTACTCCCTCCCACAAACCATTTGTCTACTTTGATATTGATGTTTCTTAATCACCTATTCTTTGTATACTGCAGGAGAGTATGGCAATATGAACCAATGCAATTCTGTGTAATTTTCTAAGTTGATTTTGTATATCCATTTGTCTGTAGTTTTAATGCTATTTTCTTCAGTGAATTAAGTCAATAATTGAAAAATTATCGAAAATTCAACATATTAACAGGTTTAATATTATCTCCTTATGAACTACATATAAGTTGATATAAATATTCAATACTTTTCCGAAGATATACCTCTCTATACTAACATTTTCGAATGAAATACACAAAGAATAAAAGAGGAATATCATATGAGTATTGCATATTGAAATGTGACTGCCACATATTATCATTGAGAAAGTGAAGTGACTTATATATTCTGTATTTGTGTAGTTTCATCCCATCTTCAATAGTTGAACAATAAAAAAATGATACTTTACAAACATCCATAATTTACTTGTGATAACTTTCATTTCAGGAGGTTGAATCAGCTATTCTCATAACTTATAGGTTCTGTCTTTTTGCAGATTTTGTTAATCAGCTCAGAGTGATCTCATTATTGTACGATCGTTTTGATTGTTTAGAGTTGAGACGATCACTGATGTACCAAGACACATTGAACCCATAGAGTCGAATTATTCAGATCACCTAAATATGGCTAGCTAATTTCGATGAACCGGCACATTTTGAATTATTATTTTTCATTGTTATTTATCCCCTGGGTTCCTAGTGGAACATACGGCTTCAGTAGCACGTCACCACTTTATTCTGTTCTCTGTAGTCTTTTCAACCTCACTCCAAGACTACCCGAAAGCCATTTATTTCTTCCTTATACGACCTCCTCCATGTCATCCTCACCTTGGAAGCCCAACTCGTCATTTCTCATTCGGTTTCCACTCCAGGGTCTGGCCTGGTCTGATGCATGATGTCTCCAAATGGTCATCTCAGTGAATGCCCAATCCATCTCCACTTTATTCCGCATATTTATTGGGGGATAGCTTCTTGGTTGGTCCGTTGCCAGGCCAGCCAGAGTTTCTTGTTGCTTATTCTTATTATTCTGGCGACCTGATCTTCAGCATCGAGCGTAGGTGTCAGCCGTTGATAAATGTCTGTAGTTTATTGGAAATGCTTTTCACGATGCACCGCCAAGTCTCTCAACCATCACATGGAAGCAGTGATTTGACTGACATTAGTGTTGAAAATCCGGATCTCGTTTACTCTTTAAGCTGAGTGTAGTGCAGAAAATCTCCACATTAATATCAGGTTAATAAAGACCTATCTTGCTGTCTTTCCGATCCTGGCTGCTTTGACGTCCTCATCTGTGCCACCGCCGCCGCCTATAGTTGAAGCGATGCTGCCTTCCCTAGGTAGGTGAAAGAGACTACTTCCTTTAGATTTCTCCGTTAATGGTGCTTGCTGTTGTTGTTGTTGGTGGTCCCGTCTTCCTTCGCTGCCTCACCTCGCCTCTTCTACTAACTTGCTGATTTTTGCCTGTACATTTTCAAGTTTGTGCGACAAGACATTAGACATAAATCATCATCAGCGGCGAAATCCAAACCTCTTAGGGTCTTTTCATCGGTCCAGTCAGAGTATGCCTCTATTCTAACAGCTCCTTACAGTTATCTGTCGCATGATCCAGTCCATCAAAGTCAGGAAGATCATGGGTGATAGTAGGTAGCAACCTTGTCTTACTCCTGTCTTCACTTCAAAGACATCACTGAGATTTCCATTGTGAACCACTTGGCTTGTAGCATTTTACAGCATATAGCTGCTGTTGAATGAGGTTGATAAGGGTTTGTGACACCAAAACCGTAGTGCTGAGGCAAGCAGCTGCCAAATTACTTCTCGGTCGATGGTGTGGAAGGCCTTTTCAAAGTCGACAAATTTGAGGTTGATGTTGAGGTTGAGCTGACTGCCATTCTATTCTCTGACGGTGCGTAGCGTTGCGTTGCAATTTGCTCCGCACATGATTTGTTCTTCCTAAAGCCAGCCAGCCTGTTCCGGTAGTAATTTTGAGTTCAGAGCATTTTTTTAGTCTCTCCAGGATGATGCTACTTATGGCGGACAGTAATATGAGTATGATTCCACGTCATTTCTTGCGAATACTTAGGTCACTCTTCCTTAGGAGTTTTGCAAGGTAACATCTTGAATAAGATGATTAATTTGTAAATGGTTAACTTAATAAACGTTCCACGTTAATATTTCTCATATGTGAGCAGCTTTTTAAATTCCCAACTATGTTGTCAAAGATTTTTCGTTGGAAACCATGTAACCAGCGTGAAAAGTGTCATCTCTGATACAAAAGTGTTATACCCTAGTGTAATATAATAGTTTTTTGAGGTGAATGGGGATTTCAATTTTTAGGTGATGTTCATCATAAACTGACATCAGTCGGTAAACCATTGGAAAACTGTGAACACTGGAAAGCTGTTTCCTTCTAACACGGAACTCCTTAGAAGTACACATCAATAACTCGACTACGGATTGGAGTCAGAACTGTCAGGTTTCCTGGTGAACACGTTAACCATTCAGTCACTGGGTGATTGTTGTGTTATATCGTGAATCGATAGAAGTTGGGAAGTATGAATCACTGAACTGCTACCCAGTGAGTGAATGATTAACATGTTCGTTGTGAAACCTGAAGACTTTGAGTTCGATTTTGTGAGCGCGGGCTGCTGAGGAGTTGTATTCTAGACCAAAGCAGGTGTTCAGTGGTGTCAGGTTATCAGTCGTTCTCCAACTGGCACGAGTCCATGATGAATACTACCTTTTAATATATTAGTGCTTAGATCAAATTAGTCTGGCTGGTGGAATATAAAGATCAGCATGAGAGATTTTTAATTACTCAGTGTGTTTAGTGGTATACTTCGCTAGTTTATGATACTTTTGTGCCAGAGATCATAACTTATGATCTGCGATGGTAAAGTCTTCAGCAGTAACCCTGTCGATCAGCACCATAGTTGGAAGGATGGAAAGGTGCTCATCTGTATGAAATATATACCGTTCAGCTTTTAAATCGTTTGTAAATTCATTATCTTACTTTACATTTATTTGTAAATTTGAAAAGCTTTCAATAAACTAGATCAACATCGATGTAATAATATTTCCATTCCATGACTGTTTTGCATACAATTAAAACTGCCATAATTCATTGTTCATTTTTAGTTTACAGTCTGAATGACAGTATTTTTGACTCTGCTTGTGATAGTACACTTTGTTCTTGAATTCTATCCTAAGACCTGAAACTCATCAACACCAGGAAGGCCTTTACTAGTTTACTCATCATTTCTATATGGAGGCAGTCAAAATTGAACCAAATAGTGGCTCAAAACTTACTCGCATTACTAAGATATCGATTGATGAGACTATATTAGGCGTACACCTGTGCCTGACCTCCACAGTCTTCAAGTTTCAGGGAAAAACATAAAGACAGACAGAAGGAGTAGCAATGGGATCACCAATATTCCCAATCGTAGCAGATGTATTTATGGATAGTTGGGAAGATATGGCTTTGTGAACGTATAATCCTTTACCTAAGATAAATCAGCGATATGTGGATGACATATTCACTGCGCTGAAACCTGAAAATCCTATAAACTTAGTAGTAAACACAATCCAGTTCATTTTCGTAGTAGTAAATGAACAAGGCAAATCACTTACGTTGGATTGCAGGATAAAAAGAAAGACAGACGATGGTTTAGATACTAATGTCTACAGGAAACCGACGCATTGTAACAGGTATCTAGACTTCAGTTCATCTCATCCAATGTCAGTTACGAGGTGTTTAGTCAAACGTCTAAATGATAAAGCTAAAAAACTCACTAGTCGTTGTAATGACTTAAACAAGGAATTGAAACTACCATAAATTAACATTCAGGCAATGTCGAGGCATCTGCATAGGAGCCCATATGCCAATAGAGGTCGAACAATTCGATCCAACAAAACAACGGAGAATAACAAGTATGTCACTAAATAATAAGAAGCGTTAATAATTAATAATTATCTTCTATAGTTTACTAAGAAATCCCTACCAACACATAAGAAACGAAGTAAATAAGAGTAATACGGGTAGAAATAAGTTCACAGCCTCTCTTGTGTTATCATATGAGGAACATCAAAAACTTTGCGTAAGATTCTCAAGCAGGCTGGAGTTAAGGTGGTATTTAGACCTACAAACTCAATCAGAAATAAGCTTTGTCGGTTTAAGCATTTGATAGATTCTTGGTTGTATTGTGTTCTCTGAGTCAGGTTGTTCATACAATACACCCACAACCACCCAAATGAGCTACAAATATTCTCCACTATTCGATAGATTCAATCGAGCAAACTAATCTAATCTATCAAATCCCATGCAATGATTATGAGGTCAAGTACATAGGTCAAACTAGTCGGTCGGGGTCAGTTAGATTACCGGAATGTAGGAATTTAGCTAAATATAGAATGACAGACTCGAATAAGATCAATAATCTAGAAAAACACTCGGCTACTGCAATGCGTGCATTAACACACAACCACACAATAGGCTGGGAGAAAAGCAATATAATTAGGTAGAGAGACAGATTGATTACTGAATCTTTGTTCATCGAATCAGCTAACACATGTTATAGCATGATGCAACACCATATGCCAGAAATATGGAAAATCTTACCACCAATACAAATAAATAATAAAAGGTGACACGACTATAAAAAGTAGGTGTCGAGAGTAGTGTGATTACATTGATACGATTATGATCAATAATTTATGCTTGATAAGTGATCAAGTAAATAATACTGTGCTACAGATGAAATAAACAAATTTGATATGGAATAGCTGATGGGTCAATACAAGGTCATCGAAATTTTTTTTTACAGAATTACATTAAATAAAGAAATAAATAAACAAAATATCTTAAATAGATTATGATCAAGATAAAATTAGAGATTGCAAGTATCCCTATTGAACACAGAGATTCAACTTGAACCTATGAATTGTCAAGATTTCTACTTTGTTTAAGTGACTGATCAGCGCTGCCTTCGAAATGTTTTATTTGACCTTATAAGCGATTTTGAAGGAAGATTTTAGTGGAACAAAGTGATCAGAATTAAACAGGTACTCAAAAATTGAGCTGTTGATAACTTTTCACTTTCCTTTAGACGACAATACAGAATAGTGTTCAGAAATGCATTTAGATAGAAAACACTTTGTCAGGCCTACGCAACTAGCTCCATAAAAGTGAGTGAATTGTTAAGTATGCATGAAGATGGCCTAAAGTGATAATTTATCCGTTATACATCATCGAATCAGTTACTGATTAGAGAAAACAATCTGAAGTTGAGTGGAAAAGAAAGTCTTATGAGTATATCTGCTATTGTACCTCTCCTGAATCCAACATTCATAAAACAGTGTGGTTCATCAAATTCTTCGCTGAATTCTCTTTTATCAACTTTTCATAAGTAAGGCTATTTCTTATTCAGTTACTTAGTATTAGACGATAAAAGTCCTCACTCTGAACTTAGCAATTCCCTTCTTACTTCATGCTGTTCTGATTCACAATTAAAAGTATGCATAGTTAGTGATTATTTGTATTTCGAGTAGTTTTTGGTAGACCTCTTCTTTAGGCGAAAATTATGGATAATGATAACAGCATATGAGATGAGAGAGAGCCATATGCTAACGACTTTGGAATATCTTAATTATGTCTATAATGCAAACTAATACTTTGAAGTATAAAATCACTGATGAAATGCTGACTGATACTTGTAATTTCCAGTTGCTTTACTAGCTCGAAATGCTTGACCTCTAGTGGCACATTGGCTTCTATGCCTTGGTGCTACATGGATATTCATTATGTTGCAGTGTCAGTAGGAAAACCATGACTTACTGAGGTATAGGTATAACCAACTGATGAATCTCAAAGAGGATGAAACGCTTGTCAGGAATACCATTAGCAAACTACTACTGTTACTTTTCAGGCACTTGACACTTTTTAATGGTTTCCAGTATCATAATCAGGTTGGTTTTATATGCTAAGTAAATGAACTTAATTATCTTATTCCATTCTAGTACTTTCAAACTTTATCCTACTCACGTTGTTGTTACATCTGACAACAACTTTCAACAGTTGACCTTGATGATTTTTGTTGGCACTGATAAAAACCCACTTCATTTTATACTTTTTCATCGAAGCTAGTAATGTACCAAAGTATTCTGCTGTTAAATGAATGCATTCTAGTATAATTTTATGATACACTAGCCCAGTAACAAGTGAACATTACTGTCAAACGAATAATTTATTCCAGCCTAAAGTAGTGGAATCATCCCATTGCTAGGCGCCAGGAACTCTTTCCTGAAGTGCAAAACTAAATAGTTGTTTCGGTTCCCAGAACTTATCAATATACATATATGGAGAGTATTGGAAAGGCTTTCTATCTCACCTTTGCTATCCATAACATATCATCCCATGTTAATAATGGGTCATTTGAATCAGTTATCGAACAATTTATGTATTTGTCTCTTCTTTGAGAATCCAATTCCTCTTGGAAAGTTACACCAAACTGATTGAATCCATTAACATATTCATTATTTGTAGTGCAAGTACTCAATTCTTTCACCTTGTTTTTCAACGATCGTCTACTCTTGCAATCCTCTTGTACAAGATCGCCTAGTAAGGACATGGCAAATACTGATACACGTCGTAGAAATAAATCACTCCAGATGTTAGCTATTGTTAGACACCATTTCAGGGGAGGTCGCTGGGTTGTATCCAAGTTTAAATCAATCTGTTCAGGGTTTGGAAATAGTCCATTGCGCCACATACATGACCAAGCTTTATTCACATCATTTAAATTCAGTGGAATACAAGTGTTCCTGGTATCTAAATCAAGAAATCGACCCAGCCTGCCATTGGATAGCACGCTCGAAGGATTTACAGTATCGTTTGTACTACTGACTAAAATGATAACAGGGAAGAAATGTGGAAGCAATATTTAACGTAACGTAATAGACATATACGAAGAGATTTTTTCTACTAACAAGTAGTCAGAGAGTAAATACGAAATTACTAGGATGATTCAGTAAAACGAATTTTTTCATCTTCCTCTACTTCAAATATGAATTGTTTTGAAAGTCACATTTGTAACATGAATTTCCGTGGTAGATGTATTACTCTGATAAAAGTCAATTTTTACAGTGGTCACCATGTTAGAAGACTTAACACCACAATGTACTGTTATTATATATATCTCAGTTTCAAGTTTAACTATCTTTCCAGGAAGCCGTGTCATATGAGAATTCAAAGATGATCAGGAGATTGATTTACTTTAGGCCAGACTGTTTGCATGATACAGTGAATTGAGACACATGCTACTGGTTATGTGTAAACTGCAATGAAATTTTAGTCTTAGTCAAAATATAACAGTCAGATTATTGAACTAAATTACCCCGTTGAATTAATGTAGTGTTTTTCAGGTTTATATAAGATTGCGCACTTTCAAAAATACCTTTCTTCTACGCTAGTTAGTCGATGCAATCACAGTCATAACTGTACTTCGACACATAGCAAAAGCAAGATACTAAGCGTAATCTTCTCTAATATGGCAATCTGTTGTTGACTATAATATCAGAGTAACTAAGTAGGTGTGAGACTCAGTTTCCCTAATTCCAGAGACTAATTACTTTTTCTATTCTGGTAGTATACTTTCCAACTTGATTTGACACACTGATATTCAACCATCATTCTTTTTACCTAGTTAAATAAGTTCAAATGTTGTCTTGTTCCACAGTACTGCACAGTCTCACTTAAATAAAATCAATAATTTATTCGCAGCTTATGAGTTTAATATGAAAAAAAGCCGGTTTACGCGTATTATCAAAATTGTTAATGTTCAAGAAATCTACAACATTAGAGAAGGAGAACATTCAACTCTGTCATAATGTCAAAAATGTCTTCAGGTTATGAAACAAACAATAAAATATCATTTTTATTAAGTACATAATGTTTGTCAGTCTAGATTCTTTTCAGTAGTTTTTTTTTCACCCCCAGGTGGCATCAAGGTCGCGCAATATTTAATGTTTGCGTTACAAGTAGTCGATATGTTTGACCCGTTTGTATAATTCTATGTTTCGTCAGATAGGCGTCTATTTTAACAAGAATTCTTATGTATATATAGCTTTGTTGGTCAACAAGAACTCACTTCGATAGTTTTATGAGTTAGTAAGTATCCATATAATCATGTAATCCAGTTTAAGCATTTCCCCTTCTTCAGGTGTACTGTTCCCAAAAGTGTAGATTTATGCTATTAGAATTATTAGTTGTGGTGCAAAGAAATAAACACTCGAAGAACTATCCTCCAATCGGGGTAGATTTTACATATATGTAAAACTGTATAGATTTCAAGTTGAAGTATACAGCAGTATCAAGGAGATATATTGACTGTTAACTGTCATCTATTTGATGAATTCAAATTAGGTAAAGAACTAGAAAAATCTGTTGCATAGCATTACTACATTTAGAGTCACTAGGTAAAGCGATCCATTAGATTTAATAGTTTGTCTAAATTTCCTCTGTAATGATGACTGTCCAGAAATCTTAGACCAATTATTATGGTTGAGGTTTCGTATGTGGTAGCATTTACGGTGTTAGTAAGTGGGTGAGTGGAGTGTGAAGTTGTTCAAGAGCAAAAATCAGAAATTGGGGGCAAATCAGTTGAAGAATCTTTTCAACAGTTTCGAATATCACGTACGAAGTAGTATTTCCGGTAAGTTTATACTTTTTAATCAAAATTATGCTTAGGATATTCTCGTTAAGTTTGTGCCATGCATGTTTACAGCTGAACTCTTGTTAATTGGGGTTTATCATTCTAAACATAACTATGCTGGTATTCTATGATGATGCAGTTGGATGTCTTATCCTGCCTGTTGTATTCAACCTTTCATTCCGTTACATTATTTGTATAAATCAATTTAATTATTTCCAATTGTGTATCTATTTTTCTGCTACTCCACCTTTTTGTGCTTTTAGTTTTATGTTACTTATTATTTACAAGTAGTATTGTTAATCACTCCAAATTCATTGTTCGAGTGTTTTACCACATGATTAACTTTCGTAATGTATCGATATACAGACAAACACCCTTTTATTGTTGATCACACTATATAAGATATTCTTGCCTCAACAGAATGATGAATGAGGTTAAAATAAAGACTTGAGCAAAGAAACAGTAATCCGAAAGGGTGTTGGTTCGAATCCCGTTGTATCTTTAATATGTGAATTAACTTCAGTAATCTTAGTTAGTTTCGAAGAATTTTGTTCTAGTGTAAAGCATTATTTACAATGAGTTTGTACAGGAATGTTTGGATGATTGAAAATTTGAAAACATTAACATGAACAGAAATATTTATCAGGTATTTGTTTGAGAAGGATTTGAAGCAAACACTTCAACCTATTGTATTGGATGGAAAGAAAGTTTTAATTTACACTCTGAGACCCTTACTCTATTGGAGACGACTTATCCGCAGTATGTGCACAAACAAGTTTTGAAATGCTTTGGTGTTTATAACCTTCTTACATCTATGTTTTTTGTTGTCCTGCCATTCTTTTTCTGTTAAGAAATTAATTTATACTTCGATTCCTTACTTCGATATATCTTCTTACTTGAGACTGTTCTTAATACTAGGTGAAATTTCCCAGCCTCTTCATAAGTACAAAAGCGCTATCAAGCTAAAAATATGGTACCAGTTTTTCTGAAGTTGATGACTGGTGAAATAAACCAAGTAGACAAATGTGGACTTCCTGGTTGGGAGTTTACAAGGTAACCGAAACCGATGACTGGAGACTACAGGTGATGTAGCATAGATATTCATCTTAATTGTTATATCAAATATTTTTGTTGATGTTACAATATTCAGTAGGATTGTACAGATCGCTCAGAGAAGCAATACATTTTCTATTATCTTATTGCCTATTGAAGTCTTGAGATATCAATCGGACATCGGTAAACGAATCATGGTGTTTGTCAAGAACTCATAAGTATAAGAACTGTTGACGCTGCACCAGTTTACTTCAACCCCCTATGGTCTTTTAGTCTCTTAAATTTCCATGACTTCTGACAGTTATTTCTATTCCCTTATCATTCTCCCTGTTGGCCTATGTGTTGATATATTGATGTCAAGTGTAGTCAGTTTGTCTTGTTAGACAGTCATTCTAAGTACTATAGTGATACTGACTGATGAAATAACCAGAAAATCAGTTTCATCAGTCTGAAGGTATTACAATACATGAATAGCAATTATGTTACTTAAAAGAAAGACTTTCTGTCAGATGAGTTTAATTATTCGACACTGGTCTCATTTATCTACTGGTAACTGTGAAAATATTTATTATGAATATTAAACTTACTCTCGTTGTCAGCACTGTTCAACTTCCAGTCAGTTGAATTTTCACTAATATTCAGATTAGAGGAGATCTAAAAAAGAAATAAATAAATCGTTTTCAAAAAAATTTGATCCTGTTCAATTGAAAAGCACAAAAATGCATGTTGTATGTTTGATTTAAATGAACGAAAATGCTAGAATCATGCATAATTAACTATACAACATTAGACAATCTCTTTGGGACTGTGATACTTGCTAATTCAACTTGACTAAGTGATCCTTATCCTCAAGGTCTGATTGAGTTAGTGAAATACAATATTCATTCACAAGCATATTATATGCGAGGGTTAATTTAACTCTGAACCACACATCAGATACCCAATAGTAAATCACTGAATGTAGGTAAGTAATCAATAAAATTCTAAATGCTTGAGTTAAGTCTGGCTTTTTATTCCTAATGAGAAAATACTACAGTACTATCTAGCATAATTACAGCAGTCCAAATAGTGAACGACAAACTTCTGTATTTAGAACCAGGAATATAATGATTGTACACAGACCTATTCATGCTGGGTGAGTATTGAAGGTGAAAAGAAAATCAATCACCATCCAGTATCGATACAAGTCTACTGAATCACGGTCATCTTAGACAGCCAAACTGACAAGCAATATGATACTTCTCATCTCTAATTCAAATATATTAGGATTAGGGTGAGAAGTCCTGGCTGGGCAGCCAGTGTGAATACGATCAAGCGATAGTAAGGTGTCATAAATTCACATGACAGTCAGGCAAAAACCCTGATGACTGAAGTGAAATTAAGCTCTGAGCTGAATCCGAGTCTCGTAACTCACTTGGTAAGACATCAGGCCGGGAACCCAGAGGTTGCTGGCTCGAGTGCGGATGTGCCTCAAGCTTTCATTTCACTTTAAATCATTACCTAACATCAATACAAGTCTGGCAAACCATGACTATCGTAGACAGTCAAACGGATACATATATTTGTTAAACCATATGAATTCGACTGACTTTTATGAAAGAGGGGATGACAGTGGGAATTATTCTGTTGCCTAGTGCTTGCAACACTGTAATCTAGCTTAATTTACCAACTTATTATTGAGATGATGTAAAACTACTTATGGAGTATTAGTAGTATTCAATCATAATTTGATTTACTACTTATTGACAATGAACACGATCAGAAATATTTTGGCTGAGTAGAAATATATCAGTTACCTGTAAGAAGGATAAATATTCGCCATAGTCTCGACGACTGACTTTATACTGATACCTAACAATGTTTGATTAAACAGGTCGAAAATCTGTCAAATGTTGTATTAAACATGTTTTCAAAGAAATTGAATAGGTTTATCACCTTACTTCTTGAGAAACTATAACTATGAGTGTATCACAATCAGCCTTGCCAAATAAAGAAGTGCGAGTGGATCTATTCGAAGTGGAATAATTAAGTGCCTTATCAACACTGATCACATCATTACGACTGGTTCAATGTTCAAAATCCCCTACAAGGTGAAAAAGAATTTTTTAAAATTAGTGTGCTCCCACAGTCGCTGTAGTGGAGAAGCTGTTGGAGAAATAGGAATTATGTGTCCAAAAGGAGTTTGTTTAACTCTCGCTACTGCATTCAAATTAGTAAGGAGGTAAGAACGTCAAACTTTATTTCGCTCTGCCAGCGTATCTGAATATTCATAATTTTGTTATATTTTATTGCAGATTTTAATAACTCAATGTAGTAATGATGGGCAGTGGCTAGCAGTGGAATTCAGGATGTACACTTCGTCCTATTTGGGACTCGTCATCTGGATGCACCTGCTTCCCAGCGAGTGATGTTGTTCCTACAGGGACTTGGACTCGGGAGCTATCGTCTCAAACGCCAGTGCGTTATCCACTACACCACCAAGCCACGATAGCCACTTCTTGTGCGACGGGTACAGGTTTAGTGTTATTGCTTGTATTACACCGTCGTTGATTGGACCGAATCGATCAGCGATAACACTAAACTCAATATAGTCTTCATTTTATTTACTCGTGAAAATTATTTTTACATATTATGCATCTTTATATTCTATGCAGTTAATCATGTTGGTTTTTATGCTGTTTGTGATTCATTTTCAGCTTACATTACACTTGTGAATTTTCGGTCTTCATTCAACTTGATCTTCGCTAGTAGGTTTAATTAAGTAATACTTGTAACTATCCAACGTAGTGGAACAAAAACGCATAAATTGTGATTGTCAAGCTGTGGAGAATGAAATCATCGAGAACTATACCTTGGCTGAACTTCTCATTTTCTGGAAAACCTTCATTAATCGATATATAATAATGAAGTTAACATCCTAAACGTTCTCGTTAACTCTGATTATGTTATAAGCAGTAAAAAAGTAAATAGTATCGATATGCATTTACTTGTTAGTAAAAAGAAACAATGTAGCATTGAAAATAAAATAGATGAATCAGTCTACTGTCAATTGATAGTAGCAATCAGTGGGATCCAGAACGTGTGTTTCGTCCCACTAACGACTCATCAGACTGATTTACCTGTCTCCCAATATGTGATATTGCTCGCGGTAAGAACTTGACCAGCGAAAAATCATTCAAAGTCTCATAATGTCATCTATTAGGCCTCTGAGTCATCATAGCCACTTCCTTTTGCAATGCATATCCTATACTTTCAAGTTATCACTCGGGAATCTTCGTCGTTAACTGGAATAGAGTGGTAGGTCACTATTGGTAATATGCACTCCTGTATGGATGCCTCGATAATGCCAGGATTTTGAGCTTAGATATTAAAGGATGCATGGTAATAATGGTCAGTCAATCTGAATCAAACAACAAAGCAGACTTACAAGCTACAACACAGAAACAACACTACTGGTTTCGTTATTTGAACAAAATGATATAAGCACTAAAATTTCATGATTTTTGTCATCTAAGTATAAGTAGATTTATGATACACTAAGACGACTTCATCTTGAAATACCAAACTAATAGGAATGCACCAATCTTTTCAATCGATCACCTAAAGATTGAGTGAATTCTCAGCGATACAAATCCAGTACAGCTCACCCATCTGCCACGATCATATAGATGATAAAAATAAGCTGCTTAGCTGCTTAAAATAAGTTTCATAACCTAATTTTTCTGAATGATCACACTGAAAAGATCTAGTTGGTACCCTTCTGTTTACTACCGTTTAGCCATCTTTTCACCGATCAACAATTGCTTCGTAATGTCAAGCAATAACTTCACACTGATAAGTGGTACCCTGAATCCATCTAGCATCAGACGACTACAATTAGCTAGTAGATTGTCCTGTTTGATGATTATTTCATGCCAGTTCGTAATTACTAATCGAGCCAATTAGCTTAGTTATGACATTTTATCATATTAACTATCCATTATGGTGGTTAGTAATCCAGATACTACTGAATTAACATCATATTCAGCATAAGTAGTATCAATGATAAGAATAATCAGGATAATAGCAGTAATAGTAAAATACTATTTGAAAAACTAAACTTTTTAACAGCCATAAAATTGACGAGTGAAGTTCTCAACTATTGTAGATTTCGCTAAATAAGAAATACAATCCACTTCTTAAAACTACATTTATACAAGAAAGTCATATAAACGTATCTATAAATATTTATATACATATATGTTTACATATTTACATGTGTTGTGGTTGTGTTGGTTGTGGTAGCTTCTACTCTCTAGATGTAAATGTTTACGTGTATAGCATGAGGTGGAAGTAGGAAGAGAAGTTTCATATACGTGTATATAAACTAACTTTATCCTTAAATAAACAAATAACAGAAAAATTCAGTCATAAAAATTACATTGTATACAGTAATAAATGAGAATAGAAAAACTTAATGATGATAGTGAAAACCGTGGAAAACTTTACTGGTATAATTCAATTTCTACTGTTTTACAAATGTTATTATTGAACACACAAATTAGGCCAATAGTAACAGTATTCACGTATACATTGAATGATCAATCTATGCATCATTTAGAATTTGTAAAGTTCATGTTGACATTTCTTAGAGTTGAGTAGATTTTCAACTACTCAACTATAGTAGATCAACAGATTTCAACGTAGATCGTGTAATCCATGAAATGTTTTGTAAACTGTTAATCCATTTTTATGGTGACTATTTTATTTGTATAAAACATAATATCCCTCAACTAGCCAAATCCAGATCACCTGCTCCTGTGAAGCAAGATACATTGGCCGTAGTTAGAGATTGCTGTCAACACGTATACGATAACGTATTCCTGCCTGGTTTTATAAGGGTCAAAGGAAATGTATCAGAAGTTCTACCCTTGAGCATTTAATCGATTCCAACCATTCAACCGACCCAAACAAGGATTTTAAGGTTGTCTATCGAATTCACTGAAACACCTCACTTTTCTTCTGTGTTCAGCTTTTAAAACCAGCAGAGGCCTTGGCTATCCATGAACTGAAGCCTGAGGTTTGTGTGCAAAAGAAGTATGTACAGTCTTTTTCTCTACCTTGGCCTTAATTTATTTTAGTCCTGGTGTCCTTCATTTTTCACCCCATCCCCCTCTTATATCGCCATTATCACTTTACTTTTATATTTAATTGTTTCCGATGTTATTTCATTTGATCTTCATAATATTGCTACTTTTAACAAAACATTTTCCCTATTTATTGATATACTTGTTATTCTCCATTGTTTTGTTGGATCAAATTGTCCGATCTCTATTGGCATATGGGCTCCTATGCAGATGCCTCGATATTGCCTGAATGTTAGTTATGACAGTTTGGTTGGTTGTGGCTAACAGAATATCTTCTTTGTGACTATCTTACTTATTTATGCTTGTAGTACTCCTATAGTTCCTATGGCCAAGCAAAATGCATGATAAGTGACCATCTGTTTGATTAGATCAGTTTAATTTGCTTAGTGAAGTCTATAGATCATATTGTTCATCATTACATTATTTCCCAGTCTACTGCCATGATTAATCAGACCTGGTCGACACGAATATTAAATTGGAAAAAATCGAAAGGTTCATATCCCTCATGGGGTCATGGGTGCGCACTGC